GTCTGCGTCTGTGTCTGTGTGTGTGTGTTTTGGAAGTCTAGGGATATTTCTTAGCTGGAGTATTGGTCTTTATGAGGTGCCAAAAATGATCCGCGCATGCCGGCCCTGATTCACAAATTGCCTGTTAAAGCAAAAGGACCCATGGAGGGACGGCACCCGGAAAGTTCCTGCTAGAATATGCGCCGAGGCCGAATGAGAATCCCAGGGCTTGCTGTAGCTTTAGCTTTTTTTGGAACGGCAAAACCCTACTCGAGGCATTGTTGCCCTTAGAGCGCTGAAGAAACCCTGGAAAAAAAGCAACCGGAACATCCCACTCCAACTCCTCTATTTACTCCGTCCCCGACATTGAGGGCTGCCTTCGGCTAAAATAAGCACAGATCCGAAGACCAAGTGGATACCACCCTGGTGATGTCTGCTGGGTTGTATGAAGGCGTCCTTCAAAAGCTCCTTCGTAGAGTCCCTTGAAAGGGCTACATCTACAATTATAACAAGGATTCCGATAGGGACTTGGAAGCGTTGCATCGGGATTCTTACAGTTGGGTGTCTCATATCTAGGGTGTAGATAACCGGATACTGCTTTGGGTCGATGTTCAGAGGGTCCCTGGGAATCCACATACACCCTCAACCAAAGCTGGAAACCGTATACCCTGACCCTCCTTCCTGAAACCGAAACCCCACATCTCCAGTTCAATCCCGAAGCCGGAAGAGTCTTAGCGTTTACAGGCGATGGCAGTCCCGGACCTGGAAAACCCACAAAAGCCCAACGAAGTTGCCTCACAAATGACCTTTAATTCCAGAAATCGGTCTTGGACTGGATAGCGCTGCCAGGACGCGGCTCGTCCGGCACGAAAATGAGCGGCCTCTTATGCAGCTTGAAAGCGTCGTCCACCTTCGGGACTCGAGATGGGTTCTTGGTTTGGGGATAGATGTCGGATCCTTATCAACTGGGTTTAGAGTTTGGGGTTTAGGGGTTCAGGGTTTAGGTTCAGCTTGCTGAGGTTCTGCGTCTGGCGGTGGCTCCGCAAACCCCACTAGAACACTGCGCACCCTGAACCAAACGGTAGCCGTGATTATATTTCGATTTTCAACGGACCCCAAAAAATTACCCACTAATTCTATCGAAATGCAGGGGTTTGGATTCAGGGATATGGGGTCTGCGGGCTCGAAGGGCTTAACGCCTGATGCATAGAAATGTTGGCTAGCTTGAGGTTTAGGATTTGGGGTTAAGAGTTCTAGGGTTTAGGGGATAGAAATGTTGGCTAACTTAAACTTTAGGATTTGGGGTTGAGAGTTCTAGGTTTAGGGCCCCCGATAAATCCCTGAAGTCCTACGAAAAGTTGCTGATCCTGTTGTACAGCTGCGCAACAGGTGTTCGTTGGCAAAAAACAGATATAGGGGGCTTTGGAGCAACTTGCTATTGACAGTTATTCAGGCTTTTACAGTACCATATGGGATGCCCCGACTCCAGTTAAACTCCTTGTAGACAAGAACTATCGTAACAGCGTGCTCAAACCTACGACGATGATCTACAAAACGGTCCGAATTTGAGAATCCGGAGGCAAGGGCTGTGCTTACGGTTTCAGGGCATGCTGAGGGCTTAAGGTTTTGAGCTCTAAACTGGGTCTGTTGGTCAACCCGAAGCAAGCCAGGTATTGGAGTGTCTGCAAGCATAGAAACCCAAACTCCACAGCTCCTAGAAGAAAACCAGCCACTCTCAAATCATTGCCCGCTTATTGAAACTCACGGAAAATACCTTCAACGAATCATAAGCCCTGGCAACATCTAGAGTATATTCCTTAGCCCAAGGGTGCAGTAAGCGGTCAGGCGGGTAATCAGCCCTTGTAAACCCAAAGCCCTTAGGATACAAAACTCTAAACCCTATAACCTGAAGCCCTGAAGCCCAAACCCCTGAACCCTGAACCGTTGTGGTTACTCGGATTCGACTGAAGGGACAATCGCGTCCCTTCCGAAACCCTCAACGGGCCGCCTCGGCCACTCGATGGTGCTTCTGAAGAATGTAGAGGCTTTCCTCAAGGTATGCTGGGCTCTAAACCCTAAACCCTAGGTGAAAGACTTGGTTTAGGACTTCGGGGTCGGGCGGGTGGCGGTTCGGGTGTGTGGTTTTGGGGTTTAGGAGCGGTTAGGGTCTAAGATTCTGGGCTCCAGGTTTGGATTCGGGGTTCCAAACCTCCCACACTGCACCATATGCCCGGAAATGCCCCCAGCTCTCGTAAACCTCAAACCTGCAACCCCAAACAAAGCCTCTACTCATAGGCCCCCAAGTAGTTCCTTTTTATGGTTCATATTTAGAATCCTATAAGGTAATCCTAAAAAGGAACTACTTAGGGGCCTATGGGTAACCCTAGTCCGAGACCCAAGCCGGTTGAGGGTAGCGGACGTGCCGAGGCCATGATGTAATCTTCCCATGCTGTGCTTGATTAGACCGCTAAGGTAAAAAGCGGCAATGGACATGGCAGGACCGGGGCAATTTCATGACAGAAGAAAAACATCACCCTTCAATGCCTTGGGTAAGAAAGCAAGTCGAGAAGTAAATCGATACTCGCACAGTCAACATGTGCATATTTATATGCACATGTGTGTTGTATTTACATGCAACTGAACATCTGCATGCATATACTATCTATCTATCTATCTATCTATCTATCTATCTAGCTATCTATCTATCTATGTATGTAGGCATGCATGCATGCATGCAGGCATGCACGTACGTACGTACGTATGTATGTATATATACATACACACATATATATATATATACACACACATACAACATTGACTGTATATGCGTGCGCGGACCATAGATATTCACATGCGTCCATCCATCAATCCATCCATGCATGCATTCAGACAGACAAACGGACGGACGGACGGACAGACAAACAGACACGGAACACAAACAAACACAAACACAAACACATGCACATGCACGTACACATGCACACGCACATACATGCTTTGTTTGCAGGCATATACAAACACATAAGCATACTTACCTGCCTACCTACCCACCTACATAAATACAGACGAAATGCAAGCAAACAACCACATATACTTCCATGAATGCATCCGACCATCCGTCCATACATACAAGCATACAGTCGTGAACACATACAAACATGAAAATATGCAAGCATAAAAAACATATAGACATGTGTGAATGCATGCATGCATACATATTCGTATAAATATGCATATCGTAAATGTACACAGAGACATACATCAATAGCAAATGCCAATGCATACATATCTGATTACATGCTGAGCCTTACGCAATAATCTCGAAATGGTGAAGGAGAATGACGATTCTTCACTGGAAGTCGGAACACATCCCCTGCCACCACCACACCTGCAAGCAGGAATAAGGCTTCTTCTGCACGCGCTGACAACACCAGTCAGAAGCGCCTCGCTGCACTCTGCACCCAGCTTCATTGTCTCGCTCCTCAACCCTGATCCCTACTACAGTCCAGCTGTGCAGCCATTACATTTGACATGGTTGGACAATTAACACGACGAACGACTTGGGTACAAGGGGCGGGTCGTCAGTCGCACTTCAAGGATACTTTGGGGTCTCCAGAACTCGGAATGAGCTAGCAAAATAGACGAGACCACCCCAATCCAAAAAAGGCCCTCAAGGACCCAGTCAGGCAGTTGGCCAGTGCATGTCCTACTGTATTCGTTCCACGATGCCTGTTCCTATGCACTTGGGACGGCAAACCGTATAATGCTATGGCTGAGTGCTCATACAGGAGCAAGAACACAGTTAAGAACTGTTTGAGGAACGAGCTTGCTAATTCTTGAGACTCTTGAGGTAGCGGGTCGCCTTCACTCACTCTCTTCGCGCTTGCGCTTGTGGTCGGTTTGCTGATTGCCCTTGAAGGTGTCCTGAGTCACACATTCGTGAGGCTTCTTACCCCCTGATTGCGACAACATCAACCCTCACCTAGACCCGCCAGTTGCCAGTTTGCTAAAGTTAACTCTAAACGACTCTAAACCCTAAACCCCTAAACCCTAAACCCCCTAAACCCTAGACCCCTAAGCCCTCAATAAAAGGTTCCCAAACGCCTCGAAGCATCCAAGGCTGCGGCTGCCTCCATGTCCGGCACTCCGGCAGAGAATAGGCCGATGCGAAGCATGATATCCTGGGTTTTAGGGCTTTAGGGTTTAGGGTTTTGGGGTTTTAGGGTTTAGTAATTTAGGGTTTTAGAGTTTTAGGGGTTTAGGGGTTTAGGGTTTTAGGGTTTTGGGGTTTTAGGGTTTAGGGTTTTAGGGTTTTGGGGTTTAGGGTATAGGGCTTTAGAGTTTTAGGGTTTATAGGGTTCTGGGGCCCTTAAAAGGAATTTATGAACAGGTACCCCTGTAGGAAGAACAAGGGAAGCTTTACAGTTTCTCAAAGTGCCACCCAGTATCAGGCCACTGTCTCATGAGCTCGGCAAAGGCTGGCAGCTTGATTACATCAACCATGTGCTCTTTGATAAATGCCAGGCAAGCTTTCTCTAGATGCCTGGCTTCAAGCAGATGTGCCTGGCAAAGGATGCCGCTGACCTCCGAGTTGCTGAGTTGGTCGCAGAGCTGACTTTCGCACCACCGCAGTAGTCTCGTGACCTCGTACCTGGTTTTCGGTTGGGGCTATATTAAACACGATCACTTTTAATCCTTATTGGGCTTTTGTTATAACAAAAAATCTAAAATTGTAGCCAACAAGGATCCAGGTACTTGTGACTCACAGCCAGCAATGCCTGCAAACGCGCGATGCGTGAGAAGCCTTCTGTCTTCTCGCAAGGACTCAGCCTCTGTGCCATGAGCTCGGTGAGGATTGGGAATGTGTCGGTGTAGAGGAACTGGAGGAAAGCTCTGAAGGTGGCCGGATCACAATCCTCAATCACGACGACCTTGGACATGGATTCCTGCATGCCGACGGTCAGCTGCTTCTGAAAGACCTCGGATCTTGCGCAGAGCACCGGTGAGTGCGCCTGGATCGAATATCCCTGCACCACGAACTCGACATCGCTGCAGGTGCCTTTCTCCCATAGAGCGCGATTGTCTTGACTCATAGTGGGGCCTGATGCCAGAGTTAAAGGAAACTACAGGTGGGGAGTTTAGGGTATATAGGGGCTTCTATAAGGTATATAGACCTTCTATAAGGCCTGAAAATGTCCTAGACAGAGTCCCTAGCTCAAAACCCGGTAGTTAAAGAAGGCTAGACAACAGCAGCTGCAGCATTACGAAACCAGCCAGAAGCAGCTTGGTAGAGAAACACCTTCCCTTGCCCCAAACCCTGAACTCAACCCTCCTGTACATACTGCTGAGCCTTATGGCCCTAAATCCTGAAACCTGGACCACAGACCACACTTGAACGCCAACTCGAACCCGCTCTACCTCCAGCTATGGCAGTGTCATCTGTTACTATGTGCCCCAAAAGTTATTAAAAGTTACCTCATCAGCTAGAAATAGACCCACTGCGTTACAAGCCTGTGATTTCGAGACTGAAACCCTAAACCCTAAACCCCTAAAATAAGCACGACACCCTAAGCCCTGTAGTAAATCAGAAAGGCGAAAGCCGACAGCCTAGGAGCCAGACCCTGGTATACCGCCTAACGCCCCCGACCCTAGGCCCCCTTTACACCTATCCAAGAGCCCTTAACCGTAACAAACAAAAAATCGGAGGCCTAAATCCTATGACCAAAAAACTACCCCTAAACACCAAACTAAACCCTAAACTAAACCCTAAACTAAGCCCGAAACTAAACCCTAAACTAAGCCCTAGCCTTAACCCTAAACTAAACCCTAAAAGCAGCGGGGGGCCTGGTATATCGATTCCTTGACTCAGAGGTCTTGACTCGCAGTCTCCCTCAAGGCGCACTTCGAGCACAAACTTCACGGTCAGGATGTCCCCCTCTACCTCAGTTTATAGGGCTTCAAGGGTTCAGGACGTTAAGGGTTTAGGGTTTTAGGGTTTTAGGGTTTTGGGGTTTTGGGTTTAGGGACGTTAAGGGTTCTACCTCAGTTTATAGGGATTTTTGTGCCTCCCACCTTGCTAGGACGAAGCCCGCAGTTTATAGAGATTTAGGGTTTAGGGTTTAGGGGTTTTGGGGTTTTGGGTTTAGGGTTTAGGGCCTTTGCGGGTCGAGGGTATAGAATCAGGCACTACATGCTGACGCAAGCGCCCTGTAGTTCAGTGGGTATGGCCCATGCAAACCCATAGCATGGACATGGCAAACACAAGCTATAAACACCTAACTAAAGCCTAAACCTTCAAGCCCTAAACCCTACAACCCTAAACCCTAAAACCCGAAACCCTATAACTTTAAACCCTAAACCTTCAAGCCCTAAGCCCTGACCCCTGAACCCAGACAGCTCTTCCTCACAAAACAAAAAACGCGGTCGAAACCGCAGAAGCCCCTAGACATCTTAGGGACCAAGGACCCACTCCGAGCGAAGCAGCTCCTCGTGCGTGAGACCGAAGATGCCCATTTTTGCAGGGTCCGAACCTGTTTGGTTTAGTGACACCAAACCCGAAACTCCTAAGGCCCTAAAACCTAAACCCTAAAATTCTTAACCGAAGTTGCGGTCTTAGGTGTTACAGGCTTTTGTAGGTTCTTGGGACCGATGGCTTGCGGTTTAGGGAGTGTGTTCGGGTGCGTTGGGATTCTAGGGATGCTCGAACGGCACTTTTCGGGCTTCACGGTTTGGTTTCGGGTGCAGTAGATAAGGGTTCTACCCCAGCTACATGTTTATTTCAGGGTCTAGGTTTACAGGGGGGCTTTTGGGGGGTTTCATTTGCAGGTTCCAGGGTTAGAAAAAGCTTCATTTAGGAGCTCACGATTTGGGGTTTCAGGGTTTGTCTCGGGTTTAGGGCTTTAGGATGCTTTAGGGTTCGGCGTCTTCGCACGTGCTTCGCTTTATAAGTATTGCACCAAGGGACTCCTGGGACTGTAAATATTAAACAGATGCTTCATGAGCCGCAAAAAAGCCCTTGCTGAAGTCCTGTTGAGCGTCTGCCGTCGTGCACGTCAGGGCCGAAGGCCTTGCAGCCGTGTTCATCCTGGACAGAGCTCAGGGTCTCTACCCGCGCCCTGGGGAAGACATTTCTTCAGGGTTGCAGCCTCTTTCGTTGTAGTGTTTTGGGGTTTAGGGTTTAGGGGTTTAGGGCTTTAGGGGTTTAGGGTTATGTTAGTTATATGAACCACCTGTGATGAAGTAGGGTAAGAAACCCCAAAGTCTAGAGTCGCCAAGGTTCCCGAGCAGCCCTCTATCTACACCACACACAAACACTAGAAGTGCCCCCTTACCTTATAATCCGCAAATGGTTGGGGGTATTACATGCCCAAGACCCCCTACACCCTAAACCCTACTATCCTCTTCTAGCCCATACGGTCCCGAGAAGTTTCGGGAACCCCCACCTCCAGGACCTCCGTCGAGGTTTCGCCCCACTGAACGAAGTCCCCGCCCCGCACTTTCACGAAGATGCGGTAGCGAAGTGCGATGCGGCCCCCTTCCTGGAATGCGTTGCTCTTGTGGGAAAAGCATTAGGGTCTTCAAGTCGACCAGTAGTCTCCATGGTAGTTCTTTTCTTGGCTGAACCAAGTATATCTTAAGGATGTTCTTATATGGTTTAACCAACTAGATCTTAAGGATTGTTATAAGGTATATATCTCCAAAAAAGAACTACAATGGAGACTGTAGGTAGCTTGGGGTTAACAATCCTTCATGGAATCACGTCGGGAAACCCTGATATAGCGGCCCTCAAGGGAACAGCTTCCTTGAATCTACTAGAGCTCCGAGACTCCATGGCCCCAAAACCCTACGAGAGACCGACCAACAGCACCAAACTCCGACGCCTCGAAACCCCAATTGCAGCCCCCAGAAACGCTCAGAGTACTTTCGAAGGAACCCCAAACTTCCCCAACCCAATGAGAGATCCTCAGTTAGAGCATCCTTAGAGAACCTTAACAAGAACATTCGTTGAAAGGATCCCCTTCACCCTAAACCCTTACTTGAAGAACCCTTAACAAGGAACACCTCTCTAGGAGAACCCCTTCACCCTAAACCCGAAACCCTTACTTAAAGAACCCCCTGCCCCCCAAACCCCTACTTAAAGAACCCTTGAAAAAGGAACCCTCTTCACCCTAACTACTTAAAGAACCCTCAACAAGGAACCCAGTAAAACGGAGAACCCCCCCCCCTCACCCACCCTTATTTCAAGAAACGAAACCCCCTAAACCCCTATTCAAAGAACCCTTGTTTAAGGAACCCTTAAAAAAAGGAGAACCTTTAAAAACGGAGGAGCCCTTAAAAAAGGAGGAACCTTTAGGAAAAGGAGGACCCCCCTTTGAAAGGATAACCCCAAGCCCTCATTTAAAGAACCTTTGAAAGGCTCTCGGACCCCCTAAACCCCTATTCAAAGAACCCTTAAAAAAAGGAGAACCCTAAACCCTTATTAAAACGGAGAACCCCCCTAAGAAGGAGGACCCCCCTTTTGAAAGGATAACCCCAAGCCCTCATTTTAAGAGCCTTTGAAAGGATCTCGGACCCTAAATCCTTATTTAAGGTACCCTTAGAAAAGGAACCCTTAAAAAAAGGAGGACCCCCCCTTTGAAAGGATAACCCCAAGCCCTCATTTAAAGAACCCTAAACCCTAAACCCTAAACCCTAAACCCTAAACCCTAAACCCCAAACCCTCATTTAAAGAACCTTTGAAAGGATCTCGGACCCGAGTCGCCCAGAGCAGCACCGCCAGAGATCCGTGCTGCGCGGAGCCCGCAGGGCCGGGCCCCGGCTCCCAGAGAAGCATCCCTGGCTCTGCGTTTTGCTTTTGTTTCTTCTTCTTTTTTTGGGGTTTAGGGTTTAGAGTCTAGGGTTTAGGGAAAGGGTGTAGGGCATCCCTGGCTCTGCTTTTTTTTTTGGGGGGTTTAGGGTTTAGGGTCTAGGGTTTAGGGTTTAGGGTTTAGGTTTTGTTTCCCAGAGAAGCATCCCTGGGGGGTTTAGGGTGTAGGGCATCCCTGGCTCTGCTTTTTTTTTTTG